GAACAGCGCTAGATCACAAAAGCTTTTTATCCTGTAAATTACTTATGTTTTAGAATCTTATCAATAAACTGAATATCTCGTCAATCAGCTTGTCAGTTGCTGCCTTCGTTCTATTTCTCGTCTTCGTTATCATTGTATTAGTCCTGGTCATTGTTCTCGTCCATGATACTTGGATAATTGGCCATATCCATCTCTGGGGATAAAGAAAGACTTGGAAAACTCCCCTGTGAAGAGGGAGAGTTTTGGGCCGTTTCCACTTCGCTTGTGGATGAGATAAACAATCAGAAGCTGGAATTAAGATTAAAAGAATATATATTTTGTTGGAGTTCTGTGGATCCTTGCTAGCGCATCCATGCTAGGGTCATCTGTGGGGATCACATGATGACAAGTCTATTTTCATGTTTTAGATAAACCGACATTGGGAACAATCTTCTTATCCCTAAAAGCACTTCGTGAGCCAAAATAAAGTATTTAATCATAATTTAAAAATGAATTGTTTGTATAAATATCACGTGACAACATAGTCAGGTCACCTAAGCTAGCAGCAATACCTGGTCCAGCTGACTTCCAATTTGGTTTTTTCACTAAAGATGGCAAGTATTGAGGATGCGCATGTTTATAATTATATCAGGTGGAAGCTGGTGAAGAGCCAAAATTTATTATCCAGTTTATAATATGGTAATTGATGGTGGGCAAAAGTTGCGGACGAAAAGACGACTCCCAAGAGTTTTGGTCAGAAATTATTGAGGAAATAATGACCCCTCAGTCATTGAGGTTGTAGAGCGCGTTGATTCAAGTAACTACCAAGGTGAAACTGAGTACAGAATTTGTAGTCACGTGTGTACCAACAACGTGGCCTACTTGCTAGCCCCAATTATTCTAAATTCTAACAGAAATTTCTGCAAACATCATATGTGGAAGCCTGTGGTTTTTGACCGGTAATCTTTTGCATCGAGTAATCCACATTCTAGATTCTGGTTTTTTCAAACTCAATTGTTAGAATCATCAAGAACCAAACCCAGTGCCATGTTGCCCCCTCATAGGCCATGAAATTGCTAGGGAAGAGTGGAGAGTAGAAATAATCGAATTCCTGTATATAATCAGATGTTACATTCTGGTGAAGAGAGAATATGGTGGGGGCCGACCAGGCTGAGGCTAGTTCCAATGCAAGATGCAATGCGTTAAGTAGAGATTTAGGTCAGTTTATTTCCGCGCTTTCACTGATAATTTCATTCTTGATCCATCAAGGTTACCAACGCCTTTCTCTCATAGTCTTGTAATGCTACTCTTAAAAACGTATAACATCCGCCCGCTTTTACCATACTGTAGTACGGCCAAAGTAAGATTGGCATACGGCGGGCAGTCTGGCGCCTCCAGATGCTAATAGGCCCGTTTGTTGGTTTTGGTATTCAATGTGCAACTTGAGTCTGTGACTATCTAGCACACAGGGCTCCTCTCTGACCCGGGCCACAACTTGTACAGTGCTCCTCGCCTCTTCTTTTACTTGTAAGATCATTGATTTGCTGCCCATGATGAAAAGCCATTCAGCTCAGTATGTACTTATGAAATTCAGCCACCCTTTCCACCTTACCTTCTACCTAAAAAATAAAAATCCTCAAAAAGCCTGCAGCCCCATTCAGGCAACGCTTAGACACCAGCACCACATGAGGTGCGTATATCCATCTACAACCCCCTTCTTTGTAACATTCGAGGCCGACTTGATCCAATTCACCATCTCCGTATCGGGTGCAAGCTATGCCCCGGAAACTCATCGAATAGCTTCTCGTCCATGATCAAGAGTGGGTGATAGTCGGGACTCGACTCTACTATTTGATCTGATGATGGTGAGCTTCATGATAGTGGGTCAGAGGGTTATTTTAGGAGATGAAGAAAATACAGATCGTGAAAGCGATCAGGAATCCTCATGGAAGTGAGGACGGTGTTACTCAATCTCGGCTCTGCAGACTTTACAATGAGATCTGGAGGTTTGTAGGGGACACCACTGACAGGTGTTGATCTTCATTCCTCTATGCTCTGAAATATATCAGTCATTTTCCTAAGTTAACCGGTACTAGGCTATTTGTCCAACTAAGAATTTTTTGGTTAGTAAATTAGACATCAATCTTGACCTCAAGACTTAATAGGCACACTGTGATATCACTTACGCGCGTGGTTTGAGTCCGAAGTCAAAGGTGATGATCCGAATGCACAATGTTATCATCGTCGTGACTAACTATCCGATGACATTTGTTGATGTCCCGCCGCACAGCCAGACGGCCCAAGGACCACACCTTCCCTGTCCCTTGCCCCATGAGGATCACTCGCATAATGAAGACGACTTCATGCAGCGTCTTCCTTGTTCCGGCTTCACCGTTCGCCTTGGTCATCAAAGATTAGTGCAGCCCTCCAATTTTTGCTTCACACCCGACCGAGGCATAGTGGGAAACCCTCTGACCAGTCAAGCCCTCTTGCATCGTGACTTCCGTCAAGTGATGCAGCGTCACGGTCGGGCCTCGTAATCTGAAGGGGATATTCCAGTCCGAAATCGACCAGACTAGGATCAGACAAAGGCTACTGATGGCTAGATACCGATTATGAAAACCCATCTTATGCTATTTACTTCTTTTTCGAGAGATTCCAGTCAGGCGGACAGGAGATATCTACCTTACTCCAGGATACATACTAGGATGACGAATTATGAGATTCTTGAGCACTTCATGATCGTGCCAGTGCTTTTCTCACACTGCGCCTCCGACCTTCGATGATCCTATCTCACGCTAACGCCGGTGAGCCTATTTCCCTCTGTCTCCATCCCAGTCACCTCAACGTGGCATACCCGATCTACTCGACTCCTCGTCCCATAATCATAGCAACTATAGCTACACGATGGGTTGAATGGTGCAGTGGTACACAATTCGGACCCTTCCCAAAAGTAGAATCTGGGTAGCTCGAACACCTGCCCTATTTGAGACGGGAGAAAGCTGGTTCGAATCCAGTAAACCCCACTCCCCACGCTCTCCCGCGGTGATATTGTACTTGTGGGATGATGAAAGTACACTCGGATAGCCACAGGTTCTTCACGCTTTTCCCTGTGGTTGGTTTGCACGGAAGAGGTTGTGCGCCGTAAGGGTTAAGCTCGAGTGGTATCTGCAAGTGAAATCTGAGTGGGAGTGTTCTTAACGTCAAATTGAGTCATCGTTGAAGTAGATATCTTCCGATAAAAACCTGCATCAGCCTCAAGGCGCCGAATCAGCAAAATTGAATATTTTATTTACAGCTACACGATCCTCCCCACATGTAGGGTATTCGAGTGGGGAGGCTATCCAACACGTGATGATTCGCGTAAGCGAGGAACACCTCATTCATGCAGCCAGGCCGCTCGCACCGCCATAGCGGGATGGAGGCCCGATCCTTGTGCATTGCGTTTCCTGTGCACTTAAACTCAACTTTACACGGCCATCATCATCGCACGTCTCCAATTCGAACGCAGGTTAAACCCATGCTCGTTGTGTCGTCAACGAACCAGCTGACGAAATATTCTTCATCAGATGGGAGACACAAAATCCTGTCATTGAGAGCTCCCAACGAGATAGTGATTGGAAGGCGTAGCACTGGCAAGTTTTTAGTCGGAAGCCTGACCTGCAGAGACTTCACGACTGCAAACCCCCTAGGAAGATCATCATCTACCTGCTAAATACGAGCTGCAGACCGGCCCAGACCCGTCCAACGTCTGTTCCGCGACGAGGGCTACTCGTTACTGTGATGAATTTAACCCAAACCTCTAGTCCAACTAAACCAACCTCGCAACCCTCCATAATATTCTCAATAATGACCGGAGCTCCACAGTAACCTGTCGCGCTCTTTGAAGGTATGGTTGAAGTAACGGTAAGAACTACGCCTGCATCTCGCCCGAGGACTCTAACAACTCGACCTCGGACGAGTCGCCACTAATGAAATACTTTCGACATTTTTCTGGCATCTTCAGCAGGACAAGCGAAGGAACCCGAGTCTTCGATGCTCCGGCCTTGAGTTCTTTTTGGTGTATTTGGCCTCCACGGATAAGGCTGGGGGCTTTGACAGATTTCAAATTAGAAATATGGAGAGACGGGCGGAAGATAGTGACACCTAACATTTGCGCGGGAAAATAGAATCACACAAGGGGAGTCCTTCAATGAAGAAAATGACCCCTAAATGAGATGGGAAGATGCTTGGGCCAGGCAAAGCTGTGACTAAAATGAGGGAAGAAACTAAACATTGGGAAAGTCTAAAGATCCCAGGCGCACAGAGGCCGAGTACGAGGATAAATTCGCACTTTAATCTACTAAGTTCGGGCTTTGGGTGGTCGAGGTTGGCATGATTAAGCACATGGATAAAGTTAGAGGAAGTCCGGTCATTTATATGGGACGAGGCTCTTGTGATTCACAAGCCAATCTTACCCGCCTCGGTCCAACTGTTCTCTAGCTCCCACAGAGCTACAAAGAGAGCTAATTTCATAGAAAGGTAATTAATACATATACAAATACATCGCACGCCTCCAAACTATCGGCCCGAGTTTTATCACATGAGCATCGAACACTTCAAGCCTGATAAGAGTAATTTCAGCCCATGATACACAGTTAAAGACGACCATTACGAAGTTGCCGTTTCAATCAGTCTGTCTACGTCGCCGTTTCTCAATCCCTCGTATAGACATATATGCCGTTTTCAAAGCTCTACTGAATTAGAAAGTATTCCCTATCCGATCAAGAGAAAGTATTTTGATCTTATTTGAGGTAGTATGAAGCTGGCACTTAGCACATGGAAGTGAAGAGCGGAGCAGAACAGGGCGAAATTGGAATCCACTATTGGGAACTGAAATCGCGATCCTAATGGTGTTGTCTAGCTTATGTCGTAGCAAAAGAGAAGCGTAGCATGAAACTCATTACGATAAATTTCTACAGGAAGCTAAACCTCTATCCCCCAACCGTATACCGACCTTCATTGAGTATCGGTTTACAAAACTAAATTTCTTGGATCTGTGATAGAATACCCTCAAACTGGGCCCAATCTTCCATAATAACTGCGGCCCCTCGTTTAAGCAACATATTACCCATACTCTCTTGTTCGTCCAGCTCATAGCTTCCCGTGTAGCCGACGAGGGTGATGCCTGCAAGATGCGCGCTTATTACTCCACTTTCCGAATCCTCAACGGCCAGGCACTCGGCCGAGGTCACGCCGAGCTTTTCGAGAGCCAGTTCATAGATAGCAGGATCTGGCTTGCTTGAGGGAATCGGTAGACTCGATGCAGCAGAGAAGATGGCGTCGGCCGTAAAATATTTGTCAAGACCAACCGTGGTAAGGCTAGCTTGAACTCGTCGAAGAGCGCTTGATGAGACAGCAGCTAGACGATAAGCTCCCGTCTCTTGCAGGCGTTCCAATACACCCGAGACGCCATCGCAGGGCATGAGGGCTTCTTGAAGTTGAGCAATCACGGCATCCTCCTCGGCTGCCACCCAGGATTCAAACTCGTCTGCCGGAATTTTTACGCAGTGTTTATTTGCGAGCATTGTGAGCATACCGCGAAAGTTTCGGCCGACAAACTCGGCGAGTAAGTGCTCGCCCGTGTAATTCGCATCGACGCCATATTTAGCGAGGATCCGATTGGCAAGACTCGCACAGGCGTCAAAGGCGAGGGTCTCAGAGAGAACGAGAGTATTGTCGCAATCAAACAGAAGCGTTGTAATCTACAGACACGAGTCAGTGAGATGTACCAATCATCACGCTACAAAATTAAATAGATGAACGTAAATCTACAGTTTAGCATAAGCTTTGAGTGCAAGAGGGGAATAGTTTGAGTTCACCTTAGCCATAGTACTTTGGGTCGATCGGATGAAGATAGTTTGTAACAATTTATGAACTCTTTCAACATTGATCAAATGAATTGCAGCTGGAATTTTGAGGGTTTGCAATGCTCCTGCTGCCGCATCTCTTCCTCCAATCACTTTACATAAGATCAGGCCGGAAGTAGCAAGCCCAAGATGGAAGGCCCTTCCTGCACTACAAGCTGTGTTCATTTGTCAGAGAACTAGAGGGGTAGATGGCTTGAACGACTGGCTACGCTAGAGTAGATTCTCAATGAGACTGGCGCCATACTTGCGTGTCACTTGTGGCTAAATGGGTCAGTATCACAAGTTCCAAGATGTGTGGTTACACATTCATCATCATAAATTAGTCGTCAACATGGTATTTATCCTGAATTGCATTTCGCTATTGCTAAGTCTCAGCCTCCCGCAACCTCATTAGAAAACGCTCAACCTTTCCCCTTTCCAAAGATTTGAAAAAATAAATATATATATATACACGTAAATAGTAGTTTGGACCATGCCAAGAACTGTTAGGATAGTTTTCTTCATCAGGGAAAAGATTACTCCTTTACTTCGTTTTCATCACCGAAAGGTGTTGATTCTCGATTATCGGGACTGCTGATTCCGATGCGTCGAGCAGCTTCTTCAATTACAGCACTTAAGCTACTAACACTCGAGCAGCGCGGTCGAGGGTCGTCAAAAGGACCCTGTTCCATAATGGGAGTTTCGCTTATGAAAGTCGTTGCCTGAGAGTTTCGTGGACTTCCCTGTTCATTTAGAGGGTTTCGGGTTTCATATAGTTTTTGATGTATTCGGTTAACCTGAGTCTTACTTTGGGTGGCGGCACTGGCTCTATTAAGAAAAGTTGAGCCGACGCTGAAGGCCGGACTCGGAAGTCCGGAGTCTTCAAATTTAGAATACTCGAGTGTTCGAACTGGAGCTAGTAGTTCACCAGAAGCAGTACTAGGTTTTACGCTAACAACCGCCGCTTTTCCACATATGCCTGTTTGGGCAGGCACTGGGGAGACTATTGCATTTTTCCCGTAAACCGTTGAGGCAATGCTACACCTCCCGAGTGAAGTTTGACTAGTCATGGCTGAGTATGTTGAATCTCTCAAGTCACCTGGCATGAAAAAGTGCTCCTGCTCGAAGCATGGGGAGTGTCCATAGCTAGATGATAGAGCTAGGGGAATAGGAGGAACAGGCGGTACAAGAAAACTTGGTGATGACACTACTGAACGGTTGGTAACTCCGGGTATATAAGCGATTTGAATAATGTTGGACGCTCTGGTTAAAACAGTCGATGCTATAGATCCGACAGTGTAGACAGAAGATCTTACGTCTTTTTTTGAAGTAAATTCCTTCTCTTCCTTGTACGTGTCTTCTGTATCTTCGTCCCACATCTCAGGTGGATAGCTTAATCGCGTTGTCTTGATACAATAACGCCAAACTAAATATGTGACGACGGCAATGGTTACTACACCTCCGACGACTCCACCAGCAATAGCACCGACGTCATGAGAGCCTAAGCTTAAAGATTTAGGTGACGAGCTAATGGTCGCTGGAGCTGCAGATTGGGCAACACAAATGGTACGCTGACATTCGTCACAAGTTGGGGCTAGTAATGAGCATATTTGACCGGCCGGACAAACCGGACAGGCTGGTGATCCGAACTGTTCACAACCCTCTACACAGCGTCGAAAGAAAATGTTCTGATGCACTAGATCACTGAATCAGTAGGCGAGTTAGAGAAGGCGGTGAAATTAACGAACTAGGTCTGTTGGGCGTGAGAAAATATTAACCAATATTTGTAAAGCTATGTTACTCTCAGCGGCCCAAGATGGTATTGATTTTTTGTGAGATATGACCAATTTGGTAGATGAAACGAACTGATTGATAACTTCCGAATTGGATTGCGATGTGAAAATGATTGCGACGTTGATGGTGTTCAGCTGCTATTGTAAGTTTCTCTGGGCTCTTCAATTAAACGTTCAAATATTATACAGCTCGTCGCTTGCGTGAATATCGTATAATTAGAGACAAATCGAGTAGCTTGTGATGTCGGTCGCTCGTAGCGGGTTGTCGTAGCAAATAGAAGCAGTCACGGAACAAAGACGGAGTATTTCTCTTGGATTGCAGATTGTATGCTCGGAACCCAAGCTGATGACTGGTCGTGAAGACAGAGGTTCTGAGGGAGTGTCGGATAGAACGAGCGGATGGGGGTTAGGGCAAAATCTGAACGAATGAAGGGACTGCGGTGTAGGAAAAGAATAGTCTACATTGACAAAGCGCAAGGTTGGTTTCGGAGGAGGGGGGCCGATAGTGGACCTAGAACGTCCTGATGTTGATCGTAGGCACAATAAGGAAAAGGGTTTTGTCTGTGTTGATAGCAGACGTGTATGTCAAGGCCGAGTTCAGAGCGCAGCCTGAACACACGCATTGATTGGCGAAATCTTGAGAAGGATCAGGGGAATAGATTCGGCGACCTTACTAAATTCGGACGAGCCGGATAAGGAGTGATGGGAAAATGATATTTACTCATAGGTCATGTGACACCCCATATGTTGGTCTGAAGTTCATAGGCGCAGGCTCGGATTGACTAGGATCCGCGAGAGAGCGAAAGGCGATAACGAGGGGACCCATGCGAGAACTCTAAGCCACCGAAGCTTCAAGACCCTGGGTTGCGACGGCGATAACTCCCCCGTTTCATCGACTATAAATCTTCTCGGAATTCTGTGAGCAAGAGGGGGTGTGGATGGGCTGTTTGATGATGACATTCGTGCCAGCTCGGGTTAACTTTAACGCACGTTAGGGTAGTCTGGCTCAACTTTGCGTCGGTCTAGGAGTGTCTCTGACCGCGATGGCAGTCAATGCGAAGTCGAAAGAGAGCAATGGAGCAATAGGCATAAATAGCCCATGATTAATTGGTAATCATTAAAAGCTAAGGTCCCACGTTGAAGAAAGCTCTAGCGCAGGGTATGCAATGCTCCTAGCAGTATACCCTGTGTGGTGTTCACGTACCTCTCACAATTGTAGCCTCACCTTTCGCAGATTAATACACCTTCTCCATGCAGACTAATGATGAAGCCGATTAGGACCCCTTAGCACCACAATGGCAATGGAGGATGTTCTGGTGACTGAAATATGCCGAGAAGGGAGGAGCATTTTGGTCGATGAGCATCTGCAGTCCCCAATTCTGATAGGCAGTAAAACTCTATACTGGTTGAAACTTGCGCACACCAAGAATGAAAGACAGGGTATACTACAAAAGTCCATCTAAACCTTAGCAGGATCTGGAGGTATGTTTTCAGGCACATCAAAAGGATTAAAATCTTGCTTCTCTTTTTGATCAACTAAAGGTTATTAGATCAGGTTACTCGTGACACTAAGATACGTGTCCAAAGATTCAGTCCAAAGGATGTGATGTATGTCCCATAGAAAGGAAATTTGTTGAATGTGCTGAAGTTTGCTCAAGAATAGGTTACTAGATGAGATCACAACGAGCAGAAGGTATTTCGTACGAGTTACAGAATAAAGTCAGAATTGAGAACGGCTAGGATAGCTTTAATTTGCTGGGGAAGTCGAGAGAATTCCAACAAAGGGACGTGATAGATAACACGGGATGATACGTCGATGCGGGCATAGAGTCTCAAGAAAATTATATCGCAGGCACAGAATCATCCGAGGTCAGGGATACTTGTACATGGCTTTAGCTCGCCTTCTTATGCGGATGAATTCTTCGAATAAATAGTCTCTACTGCATGATAAGTCTTGTGCTCGTCACAAATTCTAATTCTGGTCTAGAAAACACACTTCAGAAGATTTACTTTAGTACCTCAGTAGAGTTGATTTTGTCGAACTAAAAGTAGCCCATTTGTTTTAGGTGCATTATTTAGCAGTAAAATAGTGGCTTCTTGTGTATCAATTGAGTCTATTACTAAATAGAATATTCAGGTACTTTCGACTTGCGCGCCGAGAGTAATTCTGCCTCTCGTTGTGTAATCCTTCCTACGCTTCATCTACGACCTCTATTTGCCGGTAATACCCACACTGGTCTATATACAAGTACACATATACACAAGCTGTTATCCCATCACTGTTTCCCCTCTTCGGTCCAGGAAATAACGACGACTTGCGGGTCTGTAGCTACAGGGTAAAGTACTAAAAACGACTGGGTATTAAAATAGTATACCTGATGGAAACCTGCTCATTTTACCCCACCTATGTTTATTCACCCAAAAAACCAGCTTAAACAAGCATCACTATCTCATCCTGGCTTGCATCTTTTATTCTCTACTATTCAACATAGCATCTGACATGATCTGGAAATTTGTCACTGAATTAGAGCCAATAGTCATGTGGCTTAGGAAAAATGCCTCTTCAAGCTTTACAACTCAACCCTTACGAAGTGATCCCAACAGAAGCAATTAAATCATGTAAACTACGCTCTTGTGAAATGTCGTCAAGAGTTCTGTAAATAAATATTTCGTGCGAATGACGCAATCCATTCAAGGAAACTCAACTTTTGAATATTTCTTAATTCAATTGTGGTTTGAATGTCGCTCCATGCATTTTTCGAGAAATCTCCTATTACTTCGATCTACAGAGTTTTCATGTGATATTCTAAGTCCTGTTGCCATGTATAGCGAATTTGGAAAATATTACCATGCTATCGGATTTCAATATTTGAGTGTCACTGTGATATGATCGAATAGTGAAAATTCGTTGCTTGTCTGTGCAGATAAAATGTAGTTTTCATTAAATCTTTTTTATTTAATATGTATGCAGCCTTAGGACTATGACACATGACCTGTGTTTTAGATACACGTATGATAAATCTTTTGAATTCAAAGATACCCATACTGGGTTTCATCTACGAATACCACTATGATTTATGTTTGCTTTCACAAACAATCGACTCTCCTCCATGAGTACCCACCAAAAGAAATATCAGAAACTTTTCTTATCCAAGTATGAACTCATCACACATGTAGACCAGTACTGCGTCAAACTAGATTAAGATTTGCTGGATTCGACCAGCGACCTCCTATCTCAAGAAGGATAATTATCCAAGCTATCCAGATTCTACTCAAGAGACAAGCCCAAATGTTGTACTAGTACATCATGGCAGCAATGGCGATGTTTGTAGTGTCTTCTGTATCCTCTCAAACGAAGTCGTCTGTCGCAAAATACTTTTAATATTGAAAAACTCGCCAAAATTGAAGTCTCTCTTCCTTCGAGATTGTATCAATCTTTTATATCATCTTGAAAGATCTTCCTGATCCTTATTACTTCCATCCAAAATATCTGCACCATTATTTTTCTTCAAGGGATGATGTTCAAATTCTTGCGGGGGTTTATGCGGAGGCCATAGACTAATTTGATAAGAGTTGTGGTCATTGAAATGGGAATATACTAGGCTGCCCTTGTAAGCTTGAGGAGGCCTTGGTGGTAATCGATCTCCTCGGGAATGAGCGATTGATTTCGTGGAGATTCTTGAATCTTTTCCTCGTGGGCTAACTCCTTTGGTGTTGCAAAATTTGACTTAACTTGGCTCTGAGACATTATTTTACTCCTACGTTCGTAAAAAACAGCGCGGCCGGATGCTCAATCTTTGCTCCAATTTACTAGGAATTGAGTTGCTGGGAAGAAGAGGATTGACTTGGTTGATTGGAATTCGAGATTATCTAGAATTATGAAAACTCACATATTGAGAGTCTAAATCTGGTAGAAATTAAGTTTAAACGGACATTTAATTTCCTGCTTAAGGAGAGACGTACATGAGTGGACTATTAATTCCGCTCACTGCATCGAAGGCCTAGACGGTGTGGACATTAGGAGCGGTTGAAGCACTAGGCCCAAGATTGTCTCAACCGAAGGTTGGTTGATGATGTGTCGTTTGGACCTGCAGTCCTCCCTGCTTTGTGACGACGTAAAGCCAAGATTAAGCCTGTATCTGTTGCATAGCCTGACCTACTGTCACAGGCTCATATCATTGGAGGGCAAGACTGAACACCTGTACGCGGTGTCCTCTACGAATCTGGGAGTGAAATATTCTCCCAGAGCCAGGTTCAGTCAAGTTTCGCAATATCAAGGAAGTTGGCCCACGAGGCAAAAATTCAAATTACTCCACCATGTCAATCTTTCACTCCCAAAGAGTCCGATTCTCAACTAAGCTTCATCAAGTCTACAAGTACGACCTAGTACATCCTCATCACAATGACCATACCTCTCGTCGACTTTCTCTGGCCTCGACCACCAAATACACGCCCATGCCCATATTTATACCCGAAGAAGTAAACGAAGGGTGGCGAATAAATCTGGGAGACAGTTCTTTGGGATGGACGTGAGAGGCATTAGGAAAAATTCACAAGATGATGCAAAGAAAGGATATAACTTCGAT